TAATTTATAATCATTTAATTAAAATACTATTAGGGCCGAATTTAACATTTAAATAAGCCCCAACCGAAAATCAACTTAAGCCCACTCAATTATATTTTAATTAATAACATAATTTAATGGCCCGATAAGTGAGATAGTTTAAATCCAAATCCAGATTTTTAAAATGTGTGATCCCGTAGATCCATTCAATGTTGGCAATGGGCCTAAATCCAATTTATGGACCATAAATCATAAGCGGTCTCTAGCAAGACAATATGACTACCCAAATTGAATGAATGTCAATATAAATTAACGTAACCTAGTTGCAACCTTATACAACCCTTTGCCTCTCGATATCATGATCAGCATAAGGCATGGAACATGTCATCCTTATTTATTGCTAAATCATTTCTTGATCTATTAGTGACACTGACTAAATCAAATAAATGATAACACTTATCATTTCATTTGGGCATGGCCATGCACTACTCAGCTTCACTAATCAAGTGGTCGGTGATATCTTCTCTCAATAAAGAGAGTGGCAATCCCTTCACTTCATTCATGTTTCTTAGCATGAATCATGGCATACCCAATCATACCCATACTTGTCATTTAGTTACAAATGATGTTAGGCGTACGTCAAAAATGTGTAAGGATTCATCTAAGAATCCATAACGATTTCAGGTCGAGGGATTCAAGTATAAGCATTTGCATGAGAATCACTTATGACTTTCAACCATGCAAGTGTTCTCATGAGTGGATCGATCCAAATACACTCGTTCCCTAACATATATCTATGTTCCCCGATTGATATCGCATATCCATGACTAGTAAAACATGATCATCTCACAAAGTACATACTAGTCTTAGTTTATTGCCATTCCCATTACAATAATCGACTAGGGACATTTAGAATAGTATTCTTTTATGCTTCAAGGTTTTACTATCAAATCATGTATTTGATAATTTAAGCAGAATTATTCTATTCATGGATATTTTTATCTATTTTAAACATGCACAAGAATGATAATAAGATAAAACAATGCCTCATATGTAAATATATAGTAAAGGAGTAAAAATACAATGTATTGGGCTAGGGCATACACTAACACAAATATCATAGTTATCCCATGTCTTTTCCTTAAATATAGGGTTTAGTGGGGCTTACTAGGTAAGAGAGTATCCTTATTAGCAGTCATAATTGTTAAGACATTATGCAATTAGTCTATAGGATGGTTATCCAGGATATAAACCTATTCTCTATAGGATTTAGTAATCCTAATAATTTCAATTGGTCTATAGGACGGTTATCCGAGAAATAAAATGTCAATTGGGTCTTATTTAGTAATCTCTATATTTTACCAGTTATGGGTCCATAGTAATCAATTGACATTATGTACTCACCATAAATTGACCCATATGTTAATATATGTAAAGAACCTCCTAGAGAATACTATCTCATAATATTAGCTACCCCAATGTCAATTAATTATCCTATGAATAGTATATTCTCCAATGGGGATATGCATGACCTATATTGGTAAGTGACCTTATTAGCATTAGCTTAAAAGGTACATACCACCGACTAGGTATAACAAAATAACTTAACCAATAATTATGTAGAGTTCCCTAAGTTTAAGTTTAATATAGATAATATACTAGTGTTTTTTATTTATTACCAGATATAAACTAAAATCGAGGTATTAGTAGAGAAGATAATCAACATTGGGTCAACGTATTTAGAATAATTGGTCTATAATTATATGAGGTAACATATAAAATATAGGTATATCACATCCTAGAATAATATGGATATAAATATGAGAGAATAAATTTAGCATATTTATCCCTAGTATATGTGGAGTAACCATATGATTACCATATGTTTATATAGTCACCATAAATAGTCCATTATTTGCATATGATAGATTATATTAATATTATATAAATAATACTAGGGTATTTCCCAAATATCATAGTTGATAACCTAATTATCAGTACTTGGTCATGATAATGATATGAGAGGCTTAAAAATAGATGCACATAGTGTGATAAATAATGACTAAGGAGACTCACGTGTTCTAATATTGAGATATTATAGTTAACGATAATACTCCCCATTTTACCTAAGTATACTCATTATAGGTTATCAACCCCCTTTAATCTAACATTGTTTAACTAAGGTACTTAACACCATGACCATGTAGTGATTAACCATTATAATGTATTATAGTCTCAAAGGATTGTGAATATATTGGGAGGGCATTGTATTAGACCAATGATGATATCCTCTATTCAATTATAAATTCTTTGACTATTTAACTAGTCCTTATATGACTCGGTGATAACCTGGCTAGGTTGAGAATATGTTACTCCTTATAATTAGACTATATTTTAGATTATATATAGAAATATTATGGGTATCAGTCCCACTAAGTGATTACCTATGCAATATTCACTAACATTTAGTCTAGATAAGGTCATGGTTACTAATTATTAACACTACCCTAATATATTCTCTTCGTAACTCTATCAGTATGACCACTATTACGGAAAAATGCCCTATACCTAGTTACACTATGTCTCCTACCTCTCAATAATCTGTATCATTTATTGGGAAATTATCCATGGTAAGACCAAAATAATAACCAAATAATTTCAATTATCTTAAACTTGATAACATTTATGCAAAAAATATATGGTAACTAGGTATTGTAAATTAAACTATTATACATATTGATACAAAATCGTTTTTTGGGTAATTTAACATGATATGGAGTAGACCAAATAACCTTAGGGTTATCTCAAGTAACTAGAGACTACTTATAATAGGCTCTCAATAGGATGCTTACCATCAAGGCAAATCAGTTCCCAAATGGATTTGACTATTGGGCTATGCCATATGGTAATATTTCCCATCAAAATTTACTTCCCATTTATTAGTGTATGCCCTAGCCCAATACATTGTATTTTTACTCCTTTAATATATATATATATACATATGAGGCATTGTTTTATCTTATTATCATTCTTGTGCATGTTTAAAATAGATAAAATATCCATGAATAGAATAATTCTACTTAAGTTATCAAATACGTGATTTGATAGTAAAACCTTGAAGCATAAAAGAATACTATTCTAAATGTCCCTAGTTGATTATTGTCATGGGAATGGCAATAAACTAAGACTAGTATATACTTTGTGAGATGATCATGTTTTACTCGGTCATGGATATGGGATATCAATCGGGGAACATAGATACATGTTAGGGAACAAGTGTATTTGGATCGATCCGCTCATGAGAACACTACATGGTTGAAAGTCATAAGTGATTCTCATGCAAATGCATATAGTTGAACTCCGAAATCGTTATGTATTCTTAGATGAATCCTTGCACATTTTTGACATATGCCTAACGTCATTTATAACTAAATGACAAGTATGGGTATGATTGGGTATGCCACAATTCATGCTAAGAAACATGAATGAAGTGAAGGGATTGCCACTCTCTTTATTGAGAGAAGATATCACCGACCATTTGATTAGTGAAACCGAGTAGTGCATGGCCATGCCCAAATGAAATGATAAGTGTTATCATTTATTAGATTGAATTAGTGTCACTAATAGATTAAGAAATGATTTAGCAATAAATAAGGATGGCATGTTCCATGCCTTATGCTGATCATGATATCGAGAGGCAAAGGTTTGTATAAGGTTGCAACTAGGTTATGTTAATTTCTATTTACATTGATTCAATTTGGGTAGTCATATTGTCTTGCTAGAGATCGCTTATGATTTATGGTCCATAAATTGGATTTAGGCCCATTGCCAACATTGAATGGACCTACAGGATCACACACTTTAAAAATCCGGATTTGGATTTAAACTATCTCACTTCTCGAGCCATTAAATTATGTTATTAATTAAAACATAATTGAGTGGGTTTAAGTTGATTTTCGGATGGGGCTTATTTAAATGTTAAATTCGACCCTCATAGTATTTTAATTAAATGATTATAAATTATTTAATTAAAAGGAGTCTCTATTCTCGTAGAATAATTAAAGAGGAAAATTAGGAATGTGATCCCTATTTTTTAGGAAGTAGATTGCCATACAAATTGGAAACAAATCTATTCCTAATAAAATATATAAAAGTGAGAAAATAGGTTTTGCTATCCTACTAACTCTTGGAAAGATTGGGCACATATAAAAGAAGAGAGAAAATAGGTTTTGCTCTCCTCCGAACTCAAGGCCGCCGGCCCCCTTCTTTCTCTCTTCAAAAACGAAATCATCAATTAATAAAAGTGAGATTGTTTGAGTGCTAGCACACATAATCTTAATCCCATAGGTTTTTGTGTGTGAGACGGTAGAGCGCATTCACGTTAAGGTAGTGTCTCCCATTGTTCAAATCGGTAGAAAAAGGAGCAAGGAAGAGAAATTGATTCGAGCTCACCTTATTGAATAAAGATTCGGCATCTAACTCAAGGTAAAAGTCTCAACCTTTATTGATTATTTTAACATACATGTGATCTTGGCATGTTTCTATGGTAAAGTTTATGTTTTTTCGTCGTGTGTAAACTTATTAAGTCCATAGGAAACCTAACACCATCTAGTTAGTAATTACCTCAAATTATGATATTTTAACCCTAAGCATAATTGATATATTCACTATAGTAAATAAGAAGGTATTTAATTAATAGTCCACTAAATTTGTTTGGTTCAATGATTTAAACCTACTAATATATTAACCCATCAAATTGGTCATAGGAGTATGTTATCTTTAATGAAATTAGTAACGTAGTTATCCTACTTAATCTATCCCTATTAGGTATTTGTTTCATTATGGTATTAACTATATTGGTGAATCAATTATAGCGTATTGATTACGGTGACCTAATATCTCATAGTAATATTGGAATGGAGAGTTGATCAAAATTAATAACTTGTGTCTATTCATACGAAAATTTATATAGGTATATCCAGTTATAATATCTATATATATTTCGTAGAGTTTAATTATACCATTCTAGCAATTTTCCATACTCGGTCCATAATGTACCGAAAGTATGTAGGGATTAACCCTCTTCTCATGCTTATGGATTTAATTCGATCACTTTTGTTATTAATCATGAGGGTCACCGTTATGTTGGCCCTTGTAATAGATTCATATAACAGGTATTAATGACCCAATACTATACCCTATTCTTAATAAGGGAGGGTAATTTGATTAATTTGGCTAGGATGTTCCTTTATGCCTATACATATGATCTGATTATTAGTAGGGACTAGAGAGTGACTAGGGTCTTTCTACCTTTTTCTAACAATGGGTTAATATATCACTCGGGCTAATGAATAAGGATAATGTAAGAGGATAAGACTGATCATTAATAAAGAATATATGACACCTCTTAATGAAGATGAGGTAACTCTTAGCCTGAATAAAAATATAGATATCTTAAGCCATTGTTTAGTAAAGGGTAAATATAGACCAATATATAGGGGTACCCTTTGTTATCCTATTTGACCTAAACAGGATACTCGAAGTAATATTTATTCCATTAAATATTTATTATTTCAATATATATGATATTGAGTATCAACCTAGTTAAAAGTTATAATAGGGATATACTATAGGGTTATTTATGATTATCTAATGAACCTTTACTTTGATTATTAGGATAAAAATGGCCTATGTTGATCATTGATTTAAATATTGCTAATATCCATGATGTATTAAGGATAATCTTAATTAGTATTTAAGGTCAAGGTATCCCCCTCTCCTGGAAGGATAATATCAATTATTCTTCAACTATATTCATATAGAGTAATGGCCTAATATTCTTAATGGTATTATTCTTCGACTATATCGAGGTGGCTAGTGGTCGATATCATTAAACAATAGGGTAGTTAGCCTATTTAGATTATTTTTATTAATTAATATCTATATATATCACCTATCATTGATGAGAGGCTTAAATAGTATAGACATGGGTAGCCTAAATTATCCTTATTTACAATCATCCTAATTTTATCATCTATTAGAGAAAGCCATAATTTTCAACATGAACAACTATTTATTAGACTATTTGGAGATAGTTGAGTTATTAAAAATGATGACTTAGGGTATATATCCTTATATTAATAAGGGGCCAAGTTAACCATATAATTAAAGTAATTATAGTTTTATGATATTAGAATACTCCACTTGGATATAGGCTAACTTATCAACTAAGAAATACGGTTACTATTGTTAAATTGATGTCAATGAGGAATAAACTAACCAGGATTACTTGAACAAATAATCAATAGGACCAATGGGGGCATAGAGAGTTATCAACCATTTTCGATCTATAATATCCACATATGAGTACCCATTACTCTATTAAGGGAGTAAGTATCACACATGGGTATTAAATCATCGGAGTGCAAATAGTCTCATGACCATCCGATTATTGGTAGTTCAATTACCATTTTTATTATATCCCCAAGTAATGTAATAATCAAAGTGATAATGAAATATGATAACATACTTATATGAATAACTTGAAGATACCCTAATGGGCTCCCCTGGGGTAAAGATGTTATTTATTAGATGCATACCAATATTTCCTTGCCTAACAATATGAGCTTTCCCGTATGATCGGCCTTGTTTAATACTCATAGCTCGGTTCAACTACATAGGGATAATCTATACCTAACATATTTAGTAAGTCCTATAACCTATTGGGAGCTATAGAAGAGGTGTAGTTATTGCCATATAATTCAATATGTGATAATATCAACCTATTAGACATTAATTTGGTAATATAAGAGGATTACTCCTATATTTGACTAAACTATGCATTATAATGGAGCCAATCTTTTAGAGACATGCTCGAGTAATGTGTTAGTTCGATTATTTTACCTATTTAATATCCCATTGATATTATAAGGAAGAAAATGTTTCGATATATTAAATATTGGGAGTGGACAGTACCAATTTGTTCATACCTTGTTTAGGCTAGCAGATAAATAAGGGTTGGGATATCATGGTAATAGTATTATCTAAGGCCTTAGATAGTGGCCTTTATATGTTATATTCTCACCTGATTCTGGTCGGGGAGGAATTAATATTGATAAAATAGTTGTCCTATACTCCCGAATAAATGATTATAAGGACTTCCCCTAATTAGGATGAAAGGGGTGACACAATAAAGAGACCCTTATATGTTTTCCATGTTTCTCAACTCTGTCTCTTCTCTATTTATATATTAGGGTAGTACTCTAAAAGAATATTATCGATGTACCACCACTCTTATAGGTATATTGAACAATGAAGACCTTAGCTAAGGTTTTTCTACGGTTGACTCGAATAATACCTAAATATACCTCGAATAAATGATAATATCATTTTCTAACTAGGGTATTAACTAGAGTAACTGAATCTTTTGTATTTTAATTCGAGTAGGGCATATCGTTACCATATTAATCTTGGTGCTGGACAAAGGTACTTTGTTAGTAACGTACTATCGTCCCAATAATTGATGATAATACTTATTGCCTTTTCAAAATAGCATATTAGTGCTAAAATATAATTTAATCCCTAAATATTCTCTAGGGGTCAATTCTAAGGTAGTGATAATATATCCTATTAGGACATATTTAGTTCACATATGCTTCTATTTTAGGCTCAAACAAATTGTAGATTAATGAAAATCATTTGATGCTATATGGCATCTTAATATGCGCAAATTATATGGTCCTATGGGATTTTAGTAGATTCCTAATCCTTAATCGACATCTCGAGTATTGCTAGGTGAAATATAATCACCATGGTGAGCTATAGGGACCATGTATAGAATATGGCAATAAGCCTTGTATAGTTGGCCATTATTATGAATAGATAAGAGTACACATCACTATACCAATTATTAACCTTTAAAAGTGGGAATAATCTACCTAATTCATGTTAGTATTAACCCTTATTTACTTAATCATCCTAATAATTTATGAATCCTATGGCCAACTATATAGGTTATGATAGTTTTCACCCTATTTTGTTTAAGGTGGACAATATAACTCCTGTTTAGTTATGTGAAATTATACAAGTATTGGTATATAATGAGTAGTCCATCACCAAACATAAATGGAACCTTAAATTTTTTTTAAAAAAACATATGATGAATATCAAGAAATTATAGCTATCAATGTATTATAACTATTAGCCGCTTCATTACTATTATACTTATATTCACATTGCGAATATCTTTTACTCGATATGTTCATCAATATAATTAACTCCTAAGGTGATATCTTTTTTATAAAATAAGTATGTTATTTTAACTTTAGATCTTACATTTATGATTAAATGCTTTAGAGATTGGTCCCGATAATAGTTATAGGTCGATCGATTAGCCTAAAATTGGGGGTTAATAACTATGAAAATAACATACCAAAGGTCCTATAACCATGAATGATTATGCTCTAATGTCTTCGATAACCAACCTATATATTGGATGAAAGGGGTGACACAATAAAGAATCCCTTATATGTTTTCCACGTTTCTCAACTCCGTCCTAATATTTTAGTACATAATCTTTGATTCCATTCTATTGAAGTCCCTAACTCTTATATGAATGAAGAGGTCAATAATTATCGTTCCCTACCGATATTAAATTGGTCATCTTACATTCATGATTGCCTAATGATCTTTAATTAATTATCAAGTAGGACACCTTAAGGGAAACATGATTCTATTTCATTATATTGATTACATCTTAGGCCAATTAATACTATAAGAACTCGATAAACCTTGATTCCCGTACATCCCTCTTATTAGTGTTTATTATTCTTCATTTTTTTATTGAATTTTATCATAATATATTAGTATACATCTTTATGAGGATTATTGATGTTAATTCTTCTATAGTACCCCATGGAATATACCTTAAGAAAGTAACATATTGATTAATGGTTTGTTAATATTAACTATAATAGGCTATTTTCAGCCCTAGTTAACCAATGATGATTCTTCCTAATAAGAGTTGACAAGAACCCTTCCTTTGGGAGGTTGAAGAATACTCGTGATTATTAAAGATGGCAAGTTAATTTAATATTGTATGCCATAATAATAATAATCACATTCACTAATATAAGGGCTATATTCGCATAAGGTTTCACTTAGTTTAATATTTATGGTCCCCAAAAGACCAAGCTATTGACCATGGTCCAACAATCTTAATTATAGCTTGGTCTCCCCGAGGCACTAAGGCTCACCAAAATGACCAATTTATGATCTTATATTGGGTTTGACCCCATATAATATATGGGAATATTATAATAGTAGCTATAGATATCTCATCCTTATAATTATAAGAGAAATGTATTACCTATTAAGCGGTACGCTACTTCTAATATCTACCTCAATCATGGAATATATACCCTTGATTCACCTATTGACGTTCATATAATAAAGTCCTCCTAAATGGATGAGAGATTTTGATGAGATAATTACCTACCTAATTATATGGAATAATTGTCCTCATTAGGTCTCTTATTGTAACCCTCGTAAAATTCATAATCGTATAAACGTACGTATCGAGATATTTATATTCGTATGTATATATATAATATATCAATTACGTACGTGAAAATCTGTAACTAGATCAACATATGTACTAGAATATGTGGTATGTACATTTTGTTGAGAGTAACGGGTGTATGTCGAAAAAAAAAACGTTGGGTAAATTAGTTAGAAAATTTCTTTTATATGGAATAAGTATAAATTAGAAAAAAAAAAAAAAGAAAGTGCTAATTGCCAAAATTTCGATAGGAATTTTGAAAATGTAGTTAATTTAATTACCCTCATTTAATCACATTTTGGCCTCTACTTTCTACAAATTTCCATTGACCATCACCTCTTCCTCCTTGAAATTTAAACCCATCATTTCATTAATTTCAACCACATTTACCTTGCATTTCACCACAAGCTCTTGAGACTTGTAATGAACATTAAATGGATGAGATTAGGTGAGATATTTAAGTAAAAAAAAGGGGATAAGGATGCATTTTTCGTGCATCCCGTAGCTGCCTTAAAGCCAAGAAAGAAAGAGTGAAAGAGAGGGTAGAAAGAGAAAAAAAAAGGGAAGGAAAAAGAAGGGGAACCTAAAAGGAAGCAAAAGAGATTTTAGGAAAGTTAATCCAATGTAAGTAGGTTTCATTTTTTTTTCTTGCTTTGTTTATGCTTTCCATGTTTATTTTGTGAGTTATTTAATTCATGTGAAATGTGATTATGGTATTTGTGATGATTTTAAGCACTTGATGTTTGATGATGGATGGTTAAACATGTGTGATGAGAAATGTGCTTTAAGAGAAGATTTTCGGATTTTAGGGGTGGAAAAACCCGAACTTGGTGTGATTTATTTTGGGATTTTAGAGTGATTTTTAGGAATAATGCAAAGAATGAAAGTTGTTTATATATGTGTCTACCATGTCTCTTTAAACTTTTGTGACTTTTAGAGATATATATATATATGGAGTTATGACTGAATTGGTATGGATTGTTCGAATGGATCATCTACTGGAAAAATATTTCATTCCAAACGTTGTGTGATTTATTTCGGGACTATAGAGTAGTTTTTGGGCAGAACTCAAAGACGGAAAGTTGTTCCTCTATGTGTCTACTAGATGTATATATAATTTCGTGATTTTTCGATCTGTATGTAAGGATTTATGACTGATTTGGTACGGATCGTTGAATGGACCAGCTACTCGGAAAAGATTATTTAGTTCCGAAACTTGTGTGATTTATTTAAGGTTTTTAGATTGATTTTTGGAGGCAACTTAAAGAATGAAAGTTGTTGATCTATATGTCTAATATCGCCTCTTAAAATGTCGTGAGTTTTAGATAAATATTTAAGGAGTTATGGCTGGTTTAGTATAGGTTGTTTAAGTGTGCCACTGCTGGAAAATTTTTAACCTAAATTAAATGGGCTTGGATTAATGTTAATGGGCTTGGACTTGAATTAAAATGAGATGGGCTTGGATTTAAAAATAAAGAGGACTTAGATTAAAACAAATGGACTTGGGCTTGAATTAAAATAAATGGTCTTGGACTAATGTTAATGGGCTTGGACTTGAATTAAAATGAGATGGGCTTGAATTTAAAAATAAAGAGGACTTAGATTAAAACAAATAGACTTGGGCTTGAATTAAAATGAGATGGGCTTGGATAAAGAAAAATAAAAATAAAATGGACTTAGATTAAAACAAATAGACTTGGGCTTAAATTAAAATAAATGGTCTTGGACTTGAATTAAAATGAGATGGGCTTGGATAAAAAAAATAAATAAAGTGGAATTAGATTAAAAAGAATGGACTTGGGCTTGAATTAAAATAAATGGTCTTGGACTAATGTTAATGGGCTTGGACTTGAATTAAAATGAGATGGGCTTGGATTTAAAAATAAAGTGGACTTAGATTAAAACAAATGGACTTGGGCTTGGATTAATGTTAATGGGCTTGGACTTAAATAAAATAAACTTGGTAATGGATTTGGACTAAAATCAAGAGGCTTGATTTTAAAGTAGATGGGCTTAGACTAATGAAAATGGGCTTAGGCTAAAATAAGTGGACTTAGATAGAAATAAAAAGGATTTTAAAATTCTAAAGAAAATTTATTCTTTTAGAGAGGAA